TGGAATGGAAGAGCTGATTTTACTCCAGCTCCTGTGATAATGAAGAATAATCCCTTTCAACACGACTTAAGTGTCCAATGCTGTGACGACCATTAGAGGGGCCCTGCCTCCAGCCAGGTGGAGGTAGGGGACAATCGGATTTATTGGACTGTGTAGATCAGATGGCCTGGCACATCAGTCCCACAGAAGTATAAGGCTCTAGTAGATACCGGTGCACAGTGTACCCTGATGCCATCAAGCTGTCAAGGGGTGGAACCCATCTATATTTCTGGAGTAACAGGAGGATCCCAAGAGTTGACTGTGCTGGAGGCTGAAATCAGCCTGACTGGGAGGGAGTGGCAAAAGCACCCTATTGTGACTGGTCCAGAGGCTCCATGCATCCTCGGCATAGACTACCTCAAGAGAGGGTACTTCAAAGACCCAAAAGGGTACCGGTGGGCTTTTGGTATTGCTGCTTTGGAGACTGAGGAAATTGAGCAGCTGTCCACCTTGCCTGGTCTCTCAGAAGATCCCTCTGCTGTGGGGTTGCTGAAAGTTGAAGAACAACAAGTGCCAATCGCGACCACAACAGTGCACCGGCGGCAATATCGCACCAACCGAGACTCCCTGATTCCCATCCATCAGCTGATCCGTAGACTGGAGAGTCAGGGGGTGATCAGCAGGACCCGCTCACCCTTCAATAGCCCCATATGGCCAGTGCGAAAGTCTAACGGAGAATGGAGACTAACAGTAGACTATTGTGGCCTGAATGAAGTCACGCCACCATTGAGTGCTGCCGTACCGGACATGCTAGAACTTCAGTATGAACTAGAGTCAAAGGCAGCCAAGTGGTATGCCACGATTGATATTGCCAATGCATTTTTCTCAATTCCTTTGGCAGCAGAGTACAGGCCACAGTTTGCTTTTACTTGGAGGGGTGTCCAGTTCACTTGGAACCGACTGCCCCAGGGGTGGAAACACAGCCCTACCATTTGCCATGGACTGATCCAGACTGCACTGGAACAGGGGCAAGCTCCAGAACACCTGCAATACATTGATGACATTATTGTGTGGGGCGATACAGCGGAAGAAGTCTTTGAGAAAGGGAGGAAAATAATCCAAATCCTGCTGAAAGCCGGTTTTGCCATAAAACGGAGTAAGGTCAAGGGACCACTTGGGTGGCATGGTTTAGTGTGAGGTGTCCCTGCCCATGGCAGGGGGTTGGAACTTGATGATCCTTTCCAACCCAAACCATTCTGTGATTCTGTGATTCTATGATTATGGCCAAGAGATCTAGGGAGTCTGGAGAGTGGGGGCATGTAGGACAAAGGAGCTGAGAGCACCCAGAAACAAGAGTAAGGATGACAAGGCACCTGGGTGTCCTCTGGAGCAGGGGGGTGCAGGTTCCCCTGAGCATAGGTTGGTCATGGTCAAGGATCCCAGGTGGTGCCAGGATAAGATGGACCTGTGCAATGAAGGTCACCACAGTAGAGTCATGATGGTCTGGGGGGTGCCAGGGAGTGAGGATGGTGGTAACCATGGTGTCTGAAGTAGCACCCAGGAGTGGAGGCCATACTGGAGGAGTGATGATCCCCCACATATTGATGCTGGGGTGGCAGCTATTTGGGGTAGAGCAGGAGGTTGTGGGGTGGCCATTTAGGTCAGGCAAAACCAGTGGCTATGAACACCACCATGGAGGTGGTTGGAGAGTGCTGGTCCCACAGTAGGGAAGATGCAGGACCCTCATCTTCTGTGTGAGGTACGGATGCTGGTGGTTGCTCCCTCTGCTCTGGCTGTGATCCTGCATTGTCAGGGGCCACCAGCTCTGCAGAGCAGCCAGTCTGAGGAGGTTTGCCCACCACCCTTGTAAGGGTGCCCAAGTTTCTAAAGGATCCTGGAGCTCCCAAGGTGGCAGGGTATGAAGCAAGGCTGTTTCCTGAATTGAGACAGCTTGTCCAGCAAGGACAGAGGGCACCAGCCTGCCCCTAGAGCAAAGGCTAATTCCAACTTGCCTCCATGCTGGGCAAGCCCATCCTGCCACTGTTCTTCCTCTGTACTTCCTTGGTACTGCTTTAATTCATGTTTTCCACAGTTGGGGATATAACAGCCTCAACTCCCAAGATCATAGAATCACAGAATCCCAGACTGGTTTGGGTTGGAAGGGCCCTTAAAGCTCATCCAGTTCCAACCCCCTGCCATGGGCAGGGACACCTTCCATTAGAGCAAGTTGCTCCAATCCCCATCCAACCTGGCCTTGAACACTGCCAGGGATGGAGCATTCACAACCTCCTTCGGGCGACTGCACAAGACACGCCATTCAGAACTGGCCCTTCCCAAAACATTCCCATGCAGAACCACTGAGGACCCCATCACCTGCCTTCGATGGGATGTTTCCCCATCAACCTACAGGGGCTGCTCCCAGGAGCAGGGCTGTGGTCTAGTGTCCAGGCTAGCACTTGCTCCTCCTCCCTGCTGGGCATATCTTCCAGGAGAGTCCAGGGAAAACATTCCATATCTTCCTTGCAAAGGCAGCGTGCATGAGTCAGGGCTTGCTGCTGCTCCATCCTGCCTTTCAGTGCTATTTATTTGTCAGCGTTGGTTTTCCAAGGCTCCTTGCAGGTTGTGTGAAGCTCAAGTTTTCCTACACTGCAAGATCCTGCAAGGTCCATGCAAGATGCTGCAAGAGGGTAGGGATCTTGGAGACAACCTCTGGAGGTCCTGGGGACCAGCCAGCAGTGGACCTAGGCAAGCCCAGGAAAGCATTTTCTTGGCATTCTTTGTAACCACCACCCATGGGAGCAGTGCTGGTATTTCAAGGGAGGTTGAACCAGGGTCTTGTTAGCACCACCCTCATCCAGACATCCAGGTTTGTCCCCAACCTTAAATTCCCAGGATGGCAGCAGGTGCCCACAGATACTCCAGACTTCAACCTCATTACCCCTTGGCCAACTGCAGTGGCCAACAGAGCTCTGTGCTTCACAGCACCTTTCACTGCTGGGCCATGGGGTGCCTTGAGAATGGCCACAGGCAGCTCATCCTACAAACACCTTCTGAAGGGCTGGAGGAGCATCTGCTGATACAGATATCCATCTCCATCCCTGTTACATCTGTTTTAACAGCTTGTCCCAGGCTTTTTGGATGGCAGCCAGTTTTCAGCTGACTTCAGCCTCTCCCACTGAGTCACCAGGAGCTCTGTATCCAGTCTCTGTTCACCTTCCCAGCTCAGAGAGATGTCAGGGAGCACAGGGAGCCTTGAATCTCTCAACTAGGAGCCAGCCCAACACTTCAATGGGCTCAGATCTTCCCTGCCTTCAGTGCTACCCTTCTGTGGGTCCAGCAGCCAAGGGGTTTCCTCTGAATTGGTGAGGGATTAGACAGGATTGGATTAAAATCTTACTGATCCTGTGCAAATTTAAACCTCCTCCTCCTCCAAATGCCAGGGATTTCTGTGGGAATAAATGATTTTTCACACTGGGGATTTATCTTATTGTCATGGTTTAAGCCCAGCCAGTAACTCAGAAGCACGCAGCCACTTACTCTCTCCCTCTTCTTCCCTTTGGACTCCCCAGGACCTTGCTAGGGGTTTGGGGGTGCTGCCTGCAGATTTGTGTCACCTCCTGGCATTTAGTCATGTACCCTAATGCTCATTTTCCAGGTGCTGCTGTGGCACCAGCATTTCCCAAGGACCTGAAGAGCCCTCTTGCACAGAGATGTGGGTGATGATGCAGAAGTTGGGCTACAGGTGTCTGAGGGATGTCCCGTTCCTTGTGCCAGAGGGATGATCATGTTGGGGATATGTCAAACACAGGGGATGCTCCCCAGCATCAAGTGCTGCCAAAGCCAACCCCCTTGGTCTCTCTCAACTGGGATTTGCTGTGGGGCTGGGGCCAGATTCCCACCACATACCAAAGCAGTTGGGTGGTGATGGACACAGGCTCAAGGCTGGCCATCAGGCAATACCCTGAACTCATCCCACCAAAGCAAGTGGGTCTGAGGGGGCCAGCAGAACTCTGCACCATCCTCCCCTGATGCTCAGGGCTGGGGTTCCACTAGCCAGGCACCAGCCTCTCCAGCAGCACAGGGACTCCTGGCCAGGCTCCTGCAAAGCCCGAGCAGCCTGGGAGCCACCAGCTCCAAAGGGATGAGAGCCAGAAGCAGGAGGAAGCAGTTGGATGCTGTGGTGCAAGTTAGGTCACAAATGTCTGCAGAAGCACAGTGCTGCTCACCAGACCCAAGCCTCTGCCCCACCACTGTGGGCTGGTGAGATGAAGAGGAGTTTGCCATCCCGGGGCTATTCACCCCCTCATCCACAGCTCATGGTGACCACAGGGGCCAAGCAGGCAGCAGGAGATGCTATTTTAAGCCTCCTGGCTGGGTGCTGGATCCCTCCACCCCATCTATGTGGTGTGTTTCCCAAGCACACACCCCAGCCATCCCCATTTTGTACCCCCTCCTTCCCCCACGCATGGACTGACTCCTGCACCAGCAGTGCCGGGTAATTTTCCATCTCATGGCCAATGCCAGCAGCAGTGTATGGAACTGTCATCACTGGTGCAAAAGTGGCAGCTCCTTTCTATCCTCTGTCTGGAGCCTTTCTTTCCTCACATCTCCATATCCAGAGCAGAGTGGACAGTCAGGGACCTGTGGTCCCAGGCCCTGGGACAGATCCAGGTAACCCTATGTAGTTACAGGGAAGCCTGGAGCTGAAGGGTCATGTGCAGGGGTGGGGATGGGGTTTTACACTGTCTACCTGTAACGAGCACCAATGCAAGATGGAAACATCTCCATGTAGGAGGTCTTCGTATGGAATTTGTTGGTAGGGAAACAGGCACGGAGCAGCTGGGCCTGGGCAGGGACTGCCAAGGTCACAAGCTGATCCCACAGGCAGCCTTAAGGCACTTTCAACATCATGTGGAAGAGTGGAGCATGTGGATGGGGAAAAGGTCACAGAGATGGGGATGCTGCTGGGGCTCCAGAGCAAAGCTCCAGTGGAAGCTCAGCTCCCAGCAGCATTCTCCCCCTCAAGAGTCAGCTCTCTTGAAAAAGACCAGCTGGAGAGACATGTGATGCTCTTTCATGACATTGTGGGGTTTGACGTCCCTGTGCATGATCCCCATGCTGTGACAGTAATCCAGGGCCTGGAACACACAAGCACATACATTAGACAAGTCTGTAACCACGGGCACAGCAGTAGAACAGTCAGTTCTCAGCCAGGGGCACGACTGCCCTGTGCACAGCAAGTGCTGCAACCTTGGCATGAGAAACTGGCATCTTCACCTCTTATGCTGTATGTGAGGAATTTACAAGCTAGCAACAAGACCTTGTGTCCTACTGCAGTCCCAGATCCTGGAACTGTGCTCCCTGAACAGTCTTTGAAGAACACGATGCAGAGAGGCATCCCAGTGCTCCAGCCTGGTGAGCACTGTGCTTCCTAGGTTCCACTCTATTCCCCAGGAAAGGATGATTCTTACATACATAGACCTTATGGCCTTCAAGTGCTACTTTCCACCTGTGTCCCAAAACACACTTAAGCTAGAAAGTCACCTCTGCCCTGCTCATTTAAGCCAAACCAGCACTTACAAAAGGCAAGTTGATGGCATGTGAGGGCGAGCAAAGCTACCTAAAGCTTGAAGGCAGGAGTACATGAACTCTCCAGCTCCATGACCTTGCACCATTCACCCTCCTGCAGCTGTTACATTGAGCAAAGGGGCGAGAATGTTGTTTTCCCATCGCCAAGGGGGAGGGACACCCATCCATCAATATCTATCAGATGCTCCAAGACCTCCAGCAGCACGGAAGGAGGGTACAGCCTGCAGTCATTCAATATCCAAGACATCAGTGTCAGGGACGTAATGTTGTCCCTGGGCCGCAGCTGCAGCAGGAAGCAGAGGAGGCAGCAGCTTCCATCACAGCAAAGGCCTGAGGGATACCCCTGCACTGACACATGGCCTCACAGCCAACAGGAGTCACAGCAAATGGCAGTCCTGGGATCTCCAGTACAGGAAATCTGTAACAGGTCAGACAGACTGCTTTCAGGGATGAAGCTGTTCTAGTGTCTTGCTTGTTTCAAGGCTGGATCATCTAAACCTCACCATCCTTCCCACTCTAATCCAGGGCTGCCCTCAGTAGGAAGGTCTTTCCCTTGCAGGCAGGTGCAGCAAGCTTAAGACTGCAGAGAAGAAAGCCTTCCTCAAGGCCACTAGATGTATTGCAGGAAACCTGCAGTCATGAAGCCCTGAAGCACAAAGGGCTTTCCCTAGTCTGTCCTACACATTTCCAGAGGCAGGGGGCCTACAAAGTGTCAGCCCAAAGTCCTGAGGCCCTACTGGGACCTGACACCTGCTCCAGCAGGTCAGCACAGAACAGCCCTGGGATCAGCTGAAACCTGTCACCTCTCCCTATATCCTGCTGCCTCCCATGGCCTGTGGCTGCAGACCCCAGAGGGGCAGTGCATCAGATCTCAGATCTGCCATGTGACTCCATGAGCATTTCTATGGGGAGGTGTAAACCAGGCTAGTCAAGAGGAAGTATTTAGGGCACCCTAAATTCCCGCCCCCTTCATCAGAGGGGCAGGGAAAGCCTTGGCTGGGAGGTCTCAAAGGAAAACACCAGTGTTATATCAACACATAACAGCCAGCACAACCAGAAGCTTCATTCCCCAAGACCACATCCATGGGGGTTCTGTGACCACAACTTGGGCTTGAAGTGTCCTAGATCCCTCACCCAGAGATGCAGGGGTCTAAAGACCAAGTGGGCAGAAGACACCTTCTATTTGAATACTGCAGCAGAAGCAAGCCTGGAGGTGGCAATCCCTCCTGCTCTCCTCAGCATGCTGAAGAGTCCCCAGTTCCCCAGCTCTGCAAATACCTCCCAATGTTTGTACTGGGTCTGGCTGGGAGGGAATTGATTTTCCTCATAGCAGCCCAACAGTGCTAGAAACACAGGGACCGAGCACAGATCTACCTGGTATCTAATAATCACAAATGCTCCACAGGGAAAAAACAGACCCCAGAGAATCGGACACTTTTGGAAGTGACCAAAGGTTCCCAGTTCAGCTGCAATACCTCACAGCAACAAGCTAGATAACCAGATCTCTTCCCAAACCTTCCCAAGTTATGAGACATGGATTCTGCACTGAACGTGAGAGGCAACTGTTTAGTAGCAGTGCCCCATGTGCCCTGCTACTACCTCTCTCATTCCTGGTGTCCCCATCCAGACTTCCACATGCAATGCCACTCACCTTCAGCAGCTCATGCATATAAAACCGAATATCATAGTCTGTCAGGATCTGGTACAGTTGCTAAAACAAATTTGGGGAGGGAGGAAGAAAAAAAAGGGAAACAAAAATAAATACTTGCGATTAATAAATACAAGAGATTTAGATTAATTTTATGTCCTGTACCCCACTTGCCTCCTATCACTGACCCCATTACAGATCCCTTGTGAATGCTGCTGCTCCCAAGGGCTTGTCCTGGTCTCAGACCTGTCAGGGCTACACACTAGGGAATCCAGACAGGATGTGAGAGCCCCCGTGAAATACTACTGGAATCATTCAGCCCTGCCATGACTTCTTTCCAGCAGGAGACAGGCAGATTGCCTGTTCAAGGAGGAAAGAGCATGCCCTTCAGAGCACACTGAGTTGGCACAGATGATCTCAACTCTCAGTTCACATGCAAAGTCACCATGGTGACTTGACAACATCTGTAACTTCATTCAGAGGAGGCAGGTTGGGAACACATGGGTAAGGTTTCCAAGTGCTCAAGGTGGGGCAGGGAAGAGGAAAACATTAACCTAAAGGAGAATAGGGTGGGGAAACACAAAAGGTAGAGACAGCCTCAGAGGCTCCCCTCTATCCCAGAATAAAGGCTAATGCAACTCTACAGCACAGGAATGCTTGTGGGGCCAAGGAGAACTCAGCTCAGAGTCTCAGGGACATGCTTGTTGCCAGCACACATTTGCTACCCTCCTCTGCTCTGTGTCCTCCTGCAGCTACTCCTGCAATTTAACCTGCACCATGCCACCAGCACTGTCACTGGAGACCTCATCACCCTGTTGCTCCCACGCCAAGTCATAACTGGCTCCAGGTTTGCCATCTGCTCTGTCACTGGCAGCAGTGCCAGCCTGACTCCTGGACTGTGCTCTCACACAGGTAGGGCAAGGTGAGACAGTCACAGGGCTGCAGCAGGACCAGACCTCTCTGCCCTTCCTAATAGACAAGGATCATCCCACAGCTCAGTCAAATCACCGACTGCATCAGAACTGGAGCCAGCTGCCATCATGGCACCACTTGGCAGCTTCAGGAAAAATCCCAGAGCAGGGGACTGAAATTCACATTCCAAGAAAGCAGCTCTAGCCCTGGATCCCCCCCCAGGCCCATGCCGAGATCCTCAGGATCTTGCCTTACTTAGGGCAGGCTCCAAACAGCCTCCCACCCCCACCCAGTATTGCTCTGGGAAATCATTTGACAACACACAAGCATCACTTACACACACAGAGCTTTACCAGCCTCCAGGCCACAAGCTGCACTGTATCCTCATGAGCTAGGATGATCCTAATGCTTCTGAGCAACCCACTGAAGAAAGTGAGCAGGGAGCAAAAAAGACATAGCCACAAGCTACAGCAGGGATAGATTTCTTGACCTGGTTGTGCGTGGCTGTGGTGCATGACCCACAGCCAGCAGAGGACAACTGAGCCCTTACAGGACTTTGTTTAAATGGCTTGCTTGGGTAACAAACACTATGGGAGGGACACATGCTTAAAACACGTCTTTTTGGGAATCAACACCCTGTTCAACTTCACCTGGCAACACCAATGCACCTAAGGAAGGAGGAGGGCTGGAGAGGCAGTGGCAGAACAAGGCCAGACCCCATTTTCCCCATTCCCTGTCTCCTCTGCCTCTCGCTACCTGCAAGCAGGGAGGGATGGAAGGGAGCTCACAGATGCCTTTCTTCCCAGGCCCACAATGCAGTTGCTTCTCTGACTCACAGCCTTTAGCAGAGGCAGCCGTTGAGGAACCAGCTTTAAATAGACCTCCATGGAAGACCTGTCTGTGAAACCCAGCACCTCTGACCTGCACACTGTGCAGACAGTGTGATTAGCAACGCCCAGGCTCCATGTGTTGCAGGATACAGTCCTGAATGCACAAGTCTCTGAAGGCCAGAACCAAGGTTTCCACTGCAAGTAGGTCCCACACAGCAGCTGCCCCAAGGCTGACTGGGCTCCAAATCCCGTTTGCCCAGCCTAGCAGGGCAGAGCAGATATCTCCTTTACAGATGTGTCCCATGCTCTGCTCTTGCAGCTGGCTCTATCAGAAAACTATCAGAAACATCACTGTGGGCATCACTCAGACCCAACTCAACATCTGCCCAGGTAGTTGCCAGCACACAAACACAAGGCATCGAGAGGTGTGGGCTGGTCTCCTTTTGCCATACAGAGCAAGAGGAAAGGCGAAACTCACCCACAGGAAGCCTCTACTCTCCAGCATTTGGTGATATTTTGGCACACACCATGTAACTTGGCAACTGGGTCAACTGCTGAGGTGAGTAGCTCAAGAGAGGATGCCTTCAACACCTGAGCGGGGGGAAGCTCAGCGTCCAGGAGCCTCAACTCAGAGTGGCGAGAAACACCGAGGGAGCCTCAGGTCCTCAACAGGACTTGCCCAGGAGCCAGCAGCGAGCATGGACTCACAGGGGGCAACCCCAGGAGGGACAACGGTAGATTTAAACAGGTTATCATAGACTGTTGCCAGAACTGCTGAACCCAGCAAGGCTACTGCAGGCAGAGGGGAGGTGGCAGAACACAAGGCCCTGGGACTTTTCATTTCCCCCACCTCCGGAAGAAACCTGCAGAGATTTCATGAAAAAAAGAGGATAAAAGCCATAAAAATAACAAAAATGCTCCAGCACGGCCCTGTTCCTCCCCAAAGTTCCTGTTGCAAGGACCCCAGTGCCATCTTGACCTGGCAGATTTGAGCTGGGACCCCCAATCCCACTGAAGGTACCTCTGCACCCCTTAGGCACCCTTCCACAGCAACACCAAGTGCTGATGGTGCCACAAAGACCTGTGGTGGAGGACAGCTGGTGATGGTGATTGCCTACCAGGGGCTCGGATCAGGGATGTTGCAGAGAGGCTGCCTGCTCTAGTAAGTCCCACTGACTATTACCCACTTCTAGTGATCCATGTGGGTGCTAGTGATATAGACAGCAGTTTTCCGGACAACATAAAGAAGGACTACAGAGCCCTGGGAGAGGTGGTTAGGGGCTCTGGAGCTCAGGTTGTCTTTTCGTCAATTCTCCAGGATAAAGGGGAGGACCCTAAAAAGGCTAGGCGGATTGGCCAGGTTAATAAATGGTTAGAAGGGTGGTACCATAGTCAGGGGTTTGGGTATTTAGAACATTGGACTCAATTTGGGAGGCCAGGTCTAGTGGGGGCTGGTGGAGCTGCTCTGACAAGGGGAAGAGCAGTTTTGGTAGGAGGCTTGCCAGACTGGTCAAGGAGGCTTTAAACTAGATGTGTTGGGGGAGGGGGGCATCATTCCATCCCAACACACCCAGTCAGTTGCCAACACCTATAATAAATGCTCGGAGCAATGTAGAGATATTCCAGCTGCCCCAGCCAATGAGCCGGCTTCATTTGGAGCTCGGCTCAGATGCCTCTATACAAACACCCGTAGCAAGGGGGACAAACAAGAGGAATTAGAGATGTGTGCACGACTACAGGGATATGATATAACAGGCATCACAGAAACATGGTGGGATGGCTCCTATGACTGAAGTGTTGGAATGGAAGGTTACAGGCTCTTTAGAAAAGAAAAGCCCAGCAGACAGGGAGGAGGAGTTGCCCTTTATGTTAGGGACAGGCTGGAGTGTAGGGAACTCTGTCTGGGGACAGGGGATCAGTCAATAGAGAGTTTGTGGGTCAGGGTTAAAGGGAAAACAGCTATGGGAGACATTACTGTGGGGATCTGTTACAGACCACCTGATCAAGAGGACTCTGTGGATGAAGCACTCTATAGACAAATAGGAAAAGCCTCATGCTCACAGGCCCTTGTTCTCATGGGGGACTTCAACCACCCTGATATCTGTTGGAGGGATGGTAGGGCCCAGCACAAGCAATCCAGGAGGTTCCTCGATTGTGTGGAAGACAACTTCCTTCTGCAAGTAATAGAAGAGCCGACAAGGAGAGGTGCCATGCTTGACCTCGTGCTCACCAACAGGGAAGGGCTCGTTGTAAATGTGACGCTCCAGGGCAGCCTTGGATGCAGCAATCACAAGATGGTCGAGTTCGAGATCCTCAGGACAGTGAGAAGAGCGTGCAGCAAGCTCACTGCCCTGGACTTCAAAAGAGCAGACTTTGACCTCTTCAGGAACCTGCTTAGTAAGGTTCCATGGGCTATAGCCCTAGAGGGCAGGGGGGCCCAAGACTGTTGGCTGATATTCAAGGATCATCTGCTACAAGCTCAGGAGTTTTGTGTCCCAACTAGAAGGAAGCGCAGCAGGAGGGCCAGGAGACCTCCTTGCACGGATAAGGAGCTGCTGAGGAAAATTTGAAGGAAAAAAGAGGCTTATAAAAGGTGGAAGCAAGGACAGGCGGCCTGGGAAGAGTACAGGGATGTTGCCTGGGAAGCTAGGGACCAGGTTAGGAAAGCCCAGTTAGAATTAAACTTGGCTAGGGATGTGAAAGATAACAGAAAGGGATTCTATAGGTACATTGCAAATAAAAGACAGACTAGGGACAATGTGGGCCCTCTCCAGAAGCTATCGGGAGAACTGGCTACCCTGGATTTGGAGAAGGCTGAGGTTCTCAATGACTTCTTTGCCTCAGTCTTCAATGGCAAAGGCTCTGACCACACCACCCAAGTCTTGGAAGGGAGATGCAGGGACTGTGAGAATGAAGACCTTGGGCCCACTGTAGGAGAGGATCCGGTTCGAGATCATCTTAAGAACCTGAACGTGCACAAGTCCATGGGACCTGATGAAATCCATCCGCGGGTCCTGAAGGAGCTGGTGAATGAAGTTGCTAAGCCACTGTCCATCATATTTGAGAAATCATGGCAGTCAGGTGAAGTTCTCGACGACTGGAAAAAGGGAAACATAACCCCCATTTTCAAGAAGGGGAAAATGGATGACCCGGGGAATTACAGACCAGTCAGTCTCACCTCCGTGCCTGGCAAAATCTTGGAGCAGATTCTCCTTGGAAGGTATGCTAAGGCACATGAAAAACAACAAGGTGCTTGGTGACAGCCAACATGGCTTCACTAAGGGGAACATGGACAGTGGGACTCAGTGCACCCTCAGCAAGTTTGCCGATGACACCAAGCTGTGTGGTTCGGTTGATACGCTGGAGGGAAGGAATGCCATCCAGAGGGACCTCGACACGCTTGTGAGGTGGGCTGATGCCAACCTCATGAAGTTTAACCATGCCAAGTGCAAGGTCCTACACCTGGGTCAGAACAATCCCAGGCACAGCTACAGGTTGGGCAGAGAAGAGATTCAGAGCAGCCTTGTGGAGAAGGACTTGGGGGTGTTGGTCAATGAGAAAATGAACATGAGCCAGCTTCAGTGTGCGCTCACAGCCCAGAAAGCCAACCATATCCTGGGCTGCATCAAAAGGCAGCGTGGAAGTTTTGAGTCAAAAACCTGCTGTCCTCACAACTCCCAACAGGCTGAACATCCTGAAACAACCTTTCATCACTCACCTTTTTTGCCCATCTCTTCTTCAGCTGCAAACTTGCTAGTGTGTTTTAAGATCAAAACAGCAAACCCAACCCGAAACTGCTGAAGACCTGGTTCTGTCCCCTTCTTTCCCGAGGGAATTTCCCTTTTGGAGCAATGGAAGGTGCAGTACCAGGTACGCTCACAGACTACACAAAACAAGAGAGTTGTTGGTGGTTGAAGGACAGGCATCTCATTGCTAGTTTGAAACCAATTAGCAAAAACCATTTAATTTCACTGATTTAATTTCACTCAACTGACTGCAAAGCCCTGCAGTGCAGCTCTCATTTAAAGCAGATGACTGTGGGATAGCTTGAGTGCTACCAGATGACAAGTAATACAGCAGGTCTGAAGAGAAGCACTAGCCCTGTACACAAGCTGCGGTCCTCATGCAGCAGCATACACATGTAGTCTAGTTCCAAGGATGGAACTGATCATCCCTAGAACTAGTTTAGTTCTAAGGATGATCACCATCATCCCTGCAAGTACAGAGCCATCACTTTCAGACAGGACTGTCCTGGGTTCAGCTGTAACGGTTATTTTTCTCCATCCTAGTAGCTGGTGCAGTGCTGTGGTTTTGACTTTAGCCTGAGAACAGTGCTGATAGCAACAACTAAAAACATCGGTGTGTTAAGTAATGCTTACTCCGATCAACGGCTTTTCAGTCTCATGCTCTGCCAGGGAGGAGGGGAAGCCGGGAGGAAGCAGAGACTGGACACCTGACCCAAACTAGCCAAAGAGGTATTCCATACCACAGCACTTCATGCCCAGAATATAAACTAGGGGGAGTCACCCAGAAGGTCCAGGTCGCTGCTCGGGTTGGGCTGGGTATCAGTCAGTGGGTGGTGAGCAATTGTATTGAGCATCACTCGGGGTTACTGGGGGGTTTTCCCTTCCCTTTTTAGTCTTATGTTCTCTCCCCTTGTTATTTCCCTTATCATTATTATTGGTGGTGGTAGCAGTAGTGGGTTTGTGTTATACCTTAGTTACTGGACTGTTCTTATCTCAACCCATGGGAGTTACATTCTTTCCATTCTCCTCCCCGTCCCTCCAGGAGCAGGGGGGAAGAAGAGGAAAGTGAGCGAGCGGCTGTGGGGTTCTGAGTTACCGGCTGGGCTTAAAGCTTAAATCATGACAAGGACTCAGCCAGGCAACTTAATAAAATGTAATCATCTCTGGGGAGATATCGCATAAATCTGCTTTTTATACTGTCATTTAAAAATAGACAAACCATGTGTAATACAAGCTGGTGCTTCTGATCCAGAATCATCCACAGCCATTGCTTAGGCCCCACAGAGCCACAGCTTCTGGAGAGCTGAGGAAACCCAGCAGCTGTTTTCCCAGGTGCCCAGACATGAACAATGTCCTGCCATCCGAATGGGCAAAGGGGTGAAGGTATTAACAGTAAACAAAAAATAGTAACATTGAAGGAAAGAAACTGCTGGACAGGAGACAACTTAACCTTGTGAGCAACTACTGCCAACAGGACAGAGAAAACCACAATCCTGTAAAGCAGTCAGCAACCTGCTGTACACAAGCTGCCCTGGGAAACTCTCATGCACCCTGAAGGCGATCTGCCAGTGAGAGGCACAGGCACTTAGCTCCAGCAGAATTTGGCTGCTCAGGGAGATCAGGACAGTGGAGCAGAGGGGACAATGACTGGAGCTGGGTGCTCTCCAGCTGCTTCATGTATAGAGGTATAGGGCAAGCCAAGACCTCCAACACAAGTCATCTCACCTACTCTGTGTGTTTTCTGCTTGGCAAGGGCACTTCAGAGCACGGGAAGAGACAGCTTGGGAGCCTCTATGGAAGATATCCACAGGTACCCTCTGTAATCTGTAATTACACTCAGTAATCTGCCAGTTAGCTGTAGCCCCAAGAACCTACCCAAAAGAGGCAGCAGATCCCATGGGAGTGTAGCTCCAATAACCCACACGTCCCATATATAGTTAGTGAAATTGAGGTTACAAATAAGCTCTGAGCACGAACAGCCATACTGTCTGCCCTGGGAGACATGCCTGCATTCCCAAGACAAGTTATTCCTGATTTGTACCAATCAACATCAGAAGCATCAATACTTTCTGTCTTGGACTTGCACAGCTCTGAATCTGGGATTCCTTGAGAAGCCAGGCTCCCTCCTAAAAACCTAGAAATGATCTGCTGTAAACTCATAGAGCTGTTTCTAATGCAACAGCATGTCTGGGACAGCTGACCTACCATGGACACCCAGCCCTGCATTTTGCAGTTCAGAGTCCCTGTTGGCCATCAGCCTCAAGTTACTACTTAACACTCCACTTACATGGGGGAAGCAAAGATACCATTAAAATAGGTGTAGCTGCTAATTAGATATTTCTTGTGTGGTTCAGCTCACTGTTGTCAGCCAGAAGCATTTCAGTCACACAGGCAGCGGTAGCTACACTCAGAGAAGGACCCACTTCATTTTGGGAAGGAATAATACCCCTCAGAGCTCCCCAGAAATCTGAAGAGCCATGGAATATGCTGCAGGCTCAGGCAAGCAGAAAAGCTCTTCAGATGTATTCAAGGCTGCTCAGTCCCCTGCTACCAGGCCCATGGGCAGTGGGAGGTGTTCTCTCCAGCCTCTGCACCCCACAGTCCCCAGGTCTGAAGGATTCCAGCACAAACTGGTGTCACCTACTCCATCAACTGCACTGCTGTAAATAGAGAACCACAGCACAGGGATTAATTTGGGCTGAATATATAGCACAGCAGTAATTACTAAATTGAGAGGGGAGTAAAAATATCTAACTTGTTGAACTTACTCCTCCAAGTTGGGAGGAGATTCAGCTTTTTATTTCTTCTCATCTAGAGCCTGTTTACAGATTTCTAATTTACAGGGAGAAAGAAAGGTGAAGCTGACATAGGTGAAAACTCCAAACTCCCCCCACAGTTCTCAAGAAGTAACTGGCAGCCCAAGATCACAGTACTCAACAGAAACGGGAAGCCTCCCCCCTCCACACTCAGGCAGACTCACCTTAAAATCTGTGTTATTGATGTACTCAAACACCAGAGCAGGGGTCTTTGACTGCAAAAGAGAAAGAGAGTCACGGTTTAAAACACCCTCTTGACCTTCCTTTGCTCCAAGAGACCCAAGAAAGCTTTTGCTTCCTGCCCAACCCTCGCTTCAGAGAGTGGGACAGGAGCAGGACAGTGAGAGAAACACAGCCCTGCTCCTGCAGCAGACAGAGGCAAGCTCCACTGAGACCCCCCCCCCACCAAGCATGAACATGGCATTTTGGTCAGTGCTGCTCTTCCCCATGCCCCAGAGCAGAGACAGCACTGGACAAGGCAAAGTGTGTTGCAAGCCATCACAAAAGGAAGGTCACCAGGACTGCCAATGCTACAGCAGTGTCATTTCCTCTCTGTGGCTGCCAACAGGCTGGAGTTACAGACCTCAGCCAGCTGCTACTCAGATAAACTTCCCAGGAATGGGGTAATTGTGACAATGCAGACAAAGGCCAACCGTATCCTGGGCTGCATCAAAAGGAGCGTGACCAGCAGGTCGAAGGAGGTGATCCTGCCCCTCTAACTCTGCTCTCGTGAGACCCTACTTGGAGTATTGCGTGCAGTTCTGGTGTCCTCAACATAAAAAGGACATGGAACTGTTGGAACAAGTCCAGAGGAGGGCCACGAGGATGATCAGGGGACTGGAGCACCTCCCGTATGAAGACAGGCTGAGAAAATTTTCTGTTCAGCCTGGAGAAGAAAAGGCTGCGTGGAGACCTCATAGCAGCCTTCCAATATCTGAAGGGGGCCTATAAGGATGCTGGTGATTCATGCTTCATTAGGGATTGTAGTGGTAGGACAAGGGGTAACAGGTTCAAACTTAAATAGGGGAAGTTCAGGCTGGATGTAAGGCGGAAGTTCTTTACTGTAAGGGTGGTGAGGCACTGGAATGGGTTGCCCAAGGAAGTTGTGAACGCTCTATCCCTGGCAATGTTCAAGGTCAGTCTGGACAGAGCCTTGGGTGACATGGTTTAGTGTGAGGTGTCCCTGCCCATGACAGGGGGGTTGGCACTAGATGATCTTAAGGTCCTTTCCAACCCTAACTATTCTATGATTCTATGACCTCTAGTCACTGGGCAGGACAGCAACCAGAAGGATGAAAAGTGCTTAATATCCAATTGCCCAAGGAGATACTTCCAGATGCCAGACAGGAGTTGGAAGGCCACAGGCTCTGCTTTCTTACAGAACATTTGTAGGGCTACAAAACTTCTCCCCTCATGGAAAACTCACAGAAGGGGTGTAAAAGAATCTGGGGAACATGGAGAGGAACATGAGCCCATGCAAACCAACCCACCACAGGAGACCCTGATGAGCTGGACACCGCTCACCCCCGGCTGCACAAAGGCACAGGCAGCACCTAACCCAAGCTGAGAGCAGGAGCCAAGGGGCAGCTTCTCATGCTTGCAGCTGGTGGGAAGGCAATACATGGGCACCTACCACTGGATCCTTGACAGTGTCAACCAGATTAATGATGTTGGTGCCACCACGTAGATTCTCCAGAATCTTAACCTCGCGTTTTATCTTCTTTTTTTTCACTGGCTTAAATAGACAAAAGAAATTAGAAGTGAGAGTTCTTTCAGAAATTAACATCGATTTCTGCCACCATTTTTGACTGGATCATATCACCTCCCCTCCTCTCCTGCTCCCACCCTCACCATGGAACATCTTTAGCATGAACTAGGACTTCCCTCTCATCAGTGAAAGATTTCCACTCATCAGGGGAAAATCAAACCACTCCAGACAAACATAATTGTGACTCCTGTGACTCCAGTAACTGTGGTTAAAAGCATCCTAAACTCCTCTGTGGAAATCTCAGCACACTCATTCTGTGTTATGCATCTAGAGCCACAGGACAAGCAGGGCATACCTCATATCTCAGCTTTTGTTTACCAGCACAAACCAGTTCTTTACTCCTTAATCCCAAACCATTTCCCAACAAGTACTTTAATCCATTGGAACAACAATCTGAGAGCCTCCAACACTAAGATTTCTCATAAGCTCAGACACTGCTACACCTAACTGCATGCAACCACCCCAAGAGCATACACCCAACTGCATAGCATCTATATACCATGATTAGTTTTAAAGTCTACAGACATTTGAAACAGTTTTGACTCCCCAGATCTGCACAGACCCAGGAACTCCCTCTGCAAAGTAAGCTTTTTTCTGGCCATCACCCTACACAGACTGACACAGACCAGCTGCTCCCAAGGCAGGGCATCCACTCCCAGGACAGCACTAGCTCTGTGCCTGCTCGGAAGAAAAGGCAGCTTAGAGCAGCTAGGAGGAGAGCCTTGGTTAGTGACCGGTGTGGGCATCACTGGTTGCAAGTCACTGGGTCTAGCAGCCCTTCACTGCAGAGCTGGAACATCCCCTCCTGCACCACTGGTACCACTGCAGAGCCATCCTACAGGGACTGGTAAAGCCATTGCTCTATCTCTGAGGTTTCCTGATGAAAACCTTCCTCTCCAGACATTTTGCTTTCTACAACATTCACCATTCAGCATGGAGTCTGCTGCATGAGGAGGGGAGCAACAGGGAAGAGCAAAGAGGTACAAGGCACCTTACCAAAGTGACATACGTTATCAGATGTGAAGGACAAAGAGCCACAAGAACTCAACAGCTTGTGCTCGCCACCTCGCCTCTGCTGCAGCCTCCCACTTCAATGAGGGCTGCAGAGTGCCAATGTGGCAACTCACAGTCTGTCACAGGCAAATCCAAGGCAATCCCTGGTTTCAGACCCCTCACAGGAATGTACAAGCAGATGGGAGAAGGAACAGAAGCCTTTTATATAGTGGGAAATATGGTGCTTAAGTGATAAAATATGCTGTCTTTCTAGGCTCTTTCAGGTGGCTGAAACCTTCAGATTTGAATCCTGCCCTTCTCTTCCAAGTTAAAAGGCAGGAGCTAGACTTTCAAGCCAAAATATGAGAATCTCAGCCTGAAGCAGAGTGCCAAAAATAACACCAATGCCGACACAGGGAGCCTCAGCACCTCATAACACCACTGTGGAAAACAGTAGCAAGGCCACCAGCTGTTAGTTAGAGCTGGGGAAAGGGTGACCAACAGCCCGGGGCAGGACCCAGACAGCTGGAGCCGGTAGGAGGTTGGACAGACAGGGAGAAGCAGCAGGGGTATAGAAACTAGAAGTGACAGGACAAGGGGAATGGCTTTAACCTGCCAGAGGGAAGACTGAGATGAGCTCTTAGGCAGAAGTTCTTCCCTGTGAAGGTGCTGAGGTGCTGGCACAGGGTGCCCAGAGAAGCTGTGGCTGCCCCATCCCTGGCAGTGTTCAAGGCCAGGTTGGACGGGGCTTGGAGCAACCTGCTCTAGTGGAAGGTGTCCCTGCCCATGGCAGGGGGTTGGAACTGGATGAGCTTCAAGGTCCCTTCCAACACAAACCAGTTGAGGATTCTATGATTTCTGAACCTGAGAGGAAGATGCTTCATTAGTGACTAATTTCATTTATGTCAGCACAGGGACAAACACCACCCTTGCATCACCCACATGCACTCATCCTACCAGAAGGCCAAGATGGAATTAGAAGATGTAATTTAGTTACTCTGCTTGCCCAGCCTCTCTGCTGCAGCACCTGCACTGGACTGGGAGCTCAAGCCATGCCTAGGACAGTCAGGAGGACCCAAAGCTCACTTTGAAATACCTTCTCCATTGTACTTCAAGTTATCTCATGGGCCTTTTGCATCAGGTGGGTAGGGGAGGATATCCCTCTGAGATTTCCCTTTCTCCTTTCATAGCAACCAACACTCCCACTGGGGCAGAAGATGCTGTCTTCCAGTCACTTCCCCATGTTTCCACCTTTTTCAGGACAGGAAAATGATACCTTGCATGATCTCCACCAAGAATCTACCCCTACCCACAATTTGCTTATTAAAAGACACAAGCAGACAGAATCATCACCTTTTGGAAAAAAGGAGAGAAGTTTTGTTGGTTTGGGTTTGGTTTTTTTTTTTTTCCAATGAAATGCCTGCAGATCATCCCCAACATCACTGAGGGAAAACACTCCAGCAAACACTGTCTCAGCAAGAGGGCAAGTTCAAAGCTGCTCGCTGTTTGCATGTTTTCCTGCTTAGCTGCAGTAGCACAGAGCTCAGGCCGGGTTGTCTGCACAACGCTATAGTGCCTCCATGCTAGTATGAGCCCTGGACAGGGTGGGAGCACGGGAAGCCTTACTCATGGCAGGGGGGAAGAAGTGCATTCTCACAGCGCTCTCCCCGCCTGCAGCCAGTGCTCAGGATGAGGTGTTCTGCCACTAGGTAAATAGGGAAGAGGTGGGGATGGATAAATGCCACGGGCTGAATGTCAGCTTAGAGGAAAATGTCAGCTTAGAGGAAAAGCTATTGCCTGGAAGTTTCCTCAGGGAGCAATGCAGGGGAATGGAGGATTTTCCCATTTTAGACCTGCAGGAGGAAACTGGTGACTGCTGACCTTCCCCTGCCCCAGCTTTCACCCACCAGCCTACCCAGCCACAGGCCACCTCCTACCCACGTGTTGTCCCACACCATTGCTCCAGCCTTAACTGCAAATGCTGTCTACTACCCAAAACCACATCACTGGGGCTCAGTTTTTGCCCGGCAACTGATTCCAAGGCCAAGCTCTTGCATCTGGCAAGTCAAACGCCACTCCAGCACACAGCCAGTACTGCACTGGAGCTAACTGTTCACAACCAGAGAAACTCTGATGACTTCCTTCCTGACCCCAGACCCCAGCACTGCTGAAGCCACGGGCAATCAGCAGCATATCCTCCAAGCACCAGGATTAAGCTTGCATTGCTACAACTGTCTCCAAGTCACCTGATCTGTCTCTCCAAGGATGTTGACTCCAAACATGCATGGATTAAATGTGAACTGAAGCTATTATGGCCTCCAACCATCTGCCTCTCCCAGCTTGGGTAGCTTCTAAAACACCAGCCCTTGCAGCCAGAGTATTTTTAACAGTACTCATTTAACGCTGTTTTATTAAACCAGGCTATGAAAAGCAGTGTTTCGGGTTGTTTCTCCTACCACAGCTCAGCCCCCCTGCCCTGGGAGGAGGACTTCCAGCAGAGGAATGGAGCAGGCACATAGACAAAATAAACTACTCCTGAGTTTGATCAGCCTGTGTTTGCAAAGCAGCGTTTTATACTGGTGCAGACTCCAACTCCATCTGTTCCCATGGCAGAGGCATTTCAAAGCTTTCCTCCATGCTGGGATTCTCTAGTGACCAGTATGAATCAAACTCTCATTGTAGCCCTTCCCTGTGAGACAGGCTCCAGCAGAGTCCCTCTGCTCCATGCAAACACCTATTTCCATGAAATCTGTAGAAACTTGACAGCCTGGAGACTTCTGTCACATTTGGTTGAAATTGGCCAACCAGTGCAAATACTACTAGGGGGGAAGAGGGGGAGAAAAGATGACAGACAGCAGGATTGCATAAGGCTTGTTTCCATAGGAAGCCAGGCTAAAAGACATACCTCAGTTTAACCATGTCTACACTGGGAACAGTTTAATTACTTCAACTACAGCAGTACCCTTAGAACAACATCACTGTCTAGCACAAGCCAGTTCCCCAGGAAATTGCTTCCTTCCTCAGGCAAACTTGAAGTGAGGTGGCTGTGGATGGTGAAGACAAACATGCAGCTTATGGCTGTCTACTGTGCAGAGGGACAAGGTGGCCTCCAGCTACAGTGTAGGCTTAAATTTTAAACTAACAATAGTGTGTGCACCTTTAACAAAGTAGAATAGACTAAACTGTTCTCACTTACTAACACGTAGAGAGAAAGGAATGTTCAGATGATGGGGGAAGGAACATCATGGGACTGATAACAACTAGGAAGACAGTAAATAAGACCAAGGATGCCAGCCTTCAAGACAGCAGAGTGGCGCCCAATATGGAGCAAGAGTGGAACAGAACAGAAGCAAGGACATGCCAACTGCTAACTCAGCACTAGGACCTTGCGAGTGTGCGCAAGCACTGAGGTCATTCAGTAAACACAGTGAGGAAGACTATCTGTGACCACCAGAGACCCCCACTCAGCAAGAAAGCACATGTGTAATTAGGATGTAAATATTATTAGTTTCTGGAAAAGCTATGAATATGCATGAGTATGCTAAATATAGAGCTGCTGTCGGCAAGTATTGGGCATGCTCACCTTTGCGAAGCTATTTGCATGTGTGCCCAGCACTGCAATAAAGAATGCTGCTTTCTGAAACTCAAAATTGAGTCTTAGAGAGGTTCTCTGACCGACTTTTATGGTAACAACAGGAGGATGGTCTCTACTGGACCCAGCAGCTCTCACTCAACTGTCCCCTGCCAGCCACCCTTTGCTGCAGGTTTCCTCCTGTACCAGCCCAAAGGATCCCATGAGGGGGCCTCAATCCACTTGAAAGTCAGGCAGAGGAGGCAGTGACAGTGGCCAGCGCTATCCCAGCTGCCTTTGCCCAAAGCTTGGGAAGCACCACATGATGCCATCCCTCTGCAGAAAATGAGGAACGGAGTAAGTCGTTGCTTTGCAGTCAGGTAGATGCAAAACACCCCTCTGA